TTCAGCAGTAGTGGGGAACAAAGCCAGAATACAGGGTCAAGGAATTCAATGGTATATGAAGAGTTTGAGATAGAAATAGAGAAAACTTCTATAACCAAAATGAAAACTCCCTTTCCATAGAGAGGTCTCTGTCTCAGATGTGTGAGCTTCGTAGATTAATACAACAGAGCATTCTGCAAGTGGTCAGTTAGGAAAGAGGCCTGGGCCTCCGTTTAAACAACTTGAAAGTCTAAAGAACAGAGGAGAGGTCACAGAGCAGAATTCGTGACAAGATACAGGCCAGGCCAAAACATGGAGAACATATGACCAATCCTGGATTTACACACCATTAAGAGAACTAGTCCAGGTTTCGGATTCATTTCTGGCACAAGAAGATGGTGAACAATGTGGTCACATTGTCAGGTCCACAGGCATGAGGCAGGTGGGCACGACACTGCCTCTCAGGGTTCCGCAGATATGGATCCCTGGACAAAAAGGGCAATTTGGTTTCAGTCTCATCGCTGACATGGAGAAAAAGTGTCTTACTAAAGTTTTTGAGCCACTGGAGCAGAGTGACGTGATCCACAAGCTCACCTCTTCATCAGGACACTTTCCTTGGTTCTGGGACTGCAGGAACCAAGGAGAAACAAGACCAAAGTGAGAATCTCCCACAGAAGCATATCATAGACATCTATGGTCCACTCTGCCCTGGCAGGAGGTGAGGGGCTCCAAGAGGCCCACGTTATGGTTTTAGATCACAGCTTCTTTAACGTGGCACAAAAGGGCTCTCCACAGGCAACTGCGGCTACAGAATCATAAAACATCTGGCCAGTCTGGAAGGCTCAGCTAACCACAAAGCACGCAGGCCCTCCAGGCTGTGAACCCTGGCCAACAGGCACTAGCCACCCGTGTGTGGGTCCCCACAGGCTTCAGAAGGATCATGCCTGCTCTCTGTTGTGTTCTTGAAGCTACATGAACCTTACTGTGACCTTGCAGAGAGAAAAGCTAAAAAAGAACATCTGAGTTTTCCTGGATTGGGCAGCAACTGTTACCCCAAAGTTCTCATCTCTTTCTCTGTTCCAAATATTTCTTTTGCTGCTTAAGAACGATTGTCCTGCTTTATCTACTCAAAACACTGAAACTACCTCCCCTATCTTTCTCTGCAAACAAAGGTTGAAATCTGAGCCATTTAAGCTAGGGTCATAAACTCCTAACATTTCAGGGCCACCTTTTCTCTAGGTGAGCTAGGGCAAAGCTGTACCCTGCTCCATAGAGGCAGCTTCGGCTCTGCTCCAAGTAGCCGTTCTGAGGCTGAAATGCCTGTCCAATGTTGCCTTATCTTTTGACTTTTCCTTAACTTTTATGTAAACACCCTTCTAATTATAAATGTTGACTCAAAGGTTTTAAAACAGACCAGGTCAAACAATGCTTGTACAGAGACTGAATCCAAGCTTTCAGTTCCAAATTTAACAAAACGTCTGCACTTAACCAAATCTGGGATTCACTTTTAAAATACTACTTATACCTGCACACTTAAAATAGTTCTAAAAATCTTGTTATATTCCCCAAATTCATTTGCAGTTTTGTCTTTTGCCATTGGACTTCCTAAGGCATCAGTGTCATTTTTAGGCTCAATTGCAAGCCGCCATGCAGAAAATGTCTCCCCACGGCCCCCAGCCCAGGCCTCCCTGAAGCAGATGGTGGGGCCAGCCGGCAGGCTGGCGTGATGCTCACTTGGCAGGCAGGCAGAGATGGGGTGCACAGTGTCCGCGTGCCAGTTCCCTTGCTTCCAGAAAGCCAAGCCACAGCAGGCCAGTCCGAGTAGACTCAACAAAAGGCAGACAGCACAGCACCTGTTGCCCAGCAACCCCGAGGCCTACAGGGGTATTCAGAGCTGCTTTGAAACCTGGTAACTCCAGCATTCCTCAACAGAATGAAGGAACCCAATTCTCTTGAACCACACTGAATCTAATAAGTCAATGCCAGTCCTCTCCATTTCTAAGGCAAATGCAAATGTCCAGATCACAGTTCTGTGAAGAAAACTTGTATTTCTGCTGTATTTTTTAAAATCTAGCCTGTAATATCATCTTACTTGGGGCAAAATACCTGAGCAACAGCCCAGAGGGATTTTAACTCACTCTAGCATCTTACCAAGAGGCCTGACAATGCCTTTTTTGTGTTGCTGGCACACAGCCAGGCCCAACTAAGCCTAGGAGGATGGATATCCCTCATCAAGAATTACTGCAGCTCACTGTCCAGGAACAAAAGGGCAAAGGCCCGGGATCACATGCCAGAGAATTTCAACCATATCCCGACCTGACCAACACTATGGCTGGGTTAAGAAAGCAAAACCCACAAAAGCTGCTGCTGAAATCATAGGAAAAGAGCACTGTGGAAACAGCTGCACTGAGGCATTATGCAGAGTGAGAGTGCTAATTCTGCTGCCCAGAGGGGACCTAGTTTTCTGTGTTGAGAAGAAAGGGCAATTTGGGCCATGGACATTGTGCAGAGAGTTAGGTAGAGGGTAATCCTGAGATTCTGTAGCTACACATGAATTATAAAATATTAATTACACAAAGTGTTTTAGGGATACTAATTATGCTGCAATGTATATGGGGACTAAATGCTACAATCCTTCCAAATATACAAAGTCTGGGTCTTTGTACCCTGGTATTTTCAATATATGGTCCTCAGACCACTTGCACTGGAAACACTTGGAGCCTCGATAAAGTTCAAATTCTTTAATCACTTCCTAAATGTAATAACCAGAATTTTTTGCTGGGGAGGGAGGGTGGGAGGGAAGCACAGAGTCTGAGTTACTAACAAGCCCTGAAAAGATCCTTAGGCATCTGATGATAAATAGGGTTCCTGCTGTCATAGCTGCCAATGGCCTGCCTCGAGGCACCACCCAGACATCTCCATAACACACCTTCACAGTGCCTGGGTTATAGGGCAGCTCCAGAAACATGGACTAAATTAATAGCTTTTTCTACTGCTTCACCCCAGGAAGAGTAAAGTCACTTTCATGTCTTTGCTAATGAACAAGCAGGCATTCACTGAATGAAAGGCTAAGGGAGGGAATTTGGGATTATTTTGCTAGAAGAAGGTCATCAAATAAAGAAAAAAAAAAGGCAGCTACAAAGCATGCAGATGAAAATCAGAGAATACAAAGAATCACTGTTAGAGTAAATCACAATCTGAGAGACACAATATTTATGACTTTAAAATGAAACAATAAATCATAATGGCCTACCTAGGTGACATCTTATAGTTTGCAAATGATGTTTATAGTTATGGTTACATTTTTCCAAGAGAGAAAGTACCTCAACCAACTGTTTTTAATTAGCTTTTAGAAGGGTAGGTTTGACCAAATGCTCTCTTCTAGGGCTAGCTCTGCTTCCACACCTGTTGAAGTACCAAAAATGGATTGCGAGGCCCCAAGACACACACATCTCCTTAGATCCTTTTGACAAGGTCATCCCCATCAATAAATGCCACAAGATGCAATCCTTTATAATTTCCTGATCATCTCTTACATTAATCGGTTTTGTACAGATCAAAGGCTCTGACTGAGAACTCACAATGTACATTCTTTCATTACTTATGGTCATAACCTTCAACTTCTTTCTAATAACAATCTCTGTGAACTTTTCTTTCTCTTAGGTAAGTTTTCTCAGCCTCAGAACTCTTGACATTTGGGGCCAGATAATTCTTTGTTGTGGGGTTCTAATCTGTGCAATGCAGGCTGTTTTGCAGCATCCTTGGCCTGTACCCAATAGATGCCGATAGCATCAAAATGCTAGTTGTGGCAACCAAAAATGTATACATAGGTTGACAAATGTCCCTTGGATTCTCACCTCCTGTTGAGAATCACTGCTCCAAGGCTCAAGTTGGAGCCTGCATCAAAACCACCCAGATGGCTGGGTACCACCCCCAGATTTTCTGAGTCTGTGAGCAAGGATGGTGCCAAACAAAGTACATTGGTAACAGCCTCCCAGGTGATGCTGATACTGATGCTGCTGGTCTGGGACTAGCTTTGGGAACCACTACTCTATGCTCTGGCTGCACCCTGGAATCATCTGGAGAGCTTTAAACAAGTTCCAAGTCAGTCAGAATCTCTAGAGATGTGATGCAGGCCTCAGTGTTTTAAAAGAATCCCCAGTGATTTCCAAATGGGTTGAAAATCACTTGCTTAAGGTTTTCAAACTATTGCTAGAATCCTAAATTCCTTAAGAACCTAAGATAAAATTAGTTAGAGTGATGTACTTTCCATTTTTATATTACTTGACGATCCTTCCCTAATTCACCTGGGAGTAGAATTTCTGGAGCAAAACAAAACAAACAACCCTAAATTATGCAGTTTGGGGCTTTCACTTTCACTCCTTCAAAACCTGTGGGCACATACCACCAGAAATTCCTGTCCTACTCTTAAGTTTCGGACAAGAAAACAACTTGATGTGGCAAAACTAAAAAGTTAAGGTCTTTCCTCTTATTCTATTCCTTTTTTTTAATTATCTAAAAGTGAGATAGCATCTTATCATAAAGAAATATGCAAGCTTTACCTTCGAAAAATGCCCAAGTCGCTTTCTTTTTATCAAAGGATGAGTCTTCTGAAGCTTTGAGAGAAATCACTGTAAGACAAAAAAGAAATGGCAAAGCATGAAGTAGAGTAGCTTATGGACCTGACCCACAGTGCAATCCAAAATAATGCCATACGACTTAAATGGCACTTAGATTTATAAAGTAATTTTTCACATTTGCAAAACCACATTTAAGTGTCACAAGTCACATGCCAAGGATAGGTGTGATGACTTACACATAACAACTGGGAGTCCTGAGGCAGCAGAGAGGAAAATTAAATTCTTTGTTTAAAAGCCAATAAATGGCAAAGCTGGGACCCAGTATGGTAGAAATCCCACTTGCCCCATATACTTGCAAAATAGTTTCCCAATAGGAATTCCAAAAACCAAAACATTATTTATTTTACCATTAAGTATCACAAGATAGAGAAGGCTGAGGTCATCTGATGACTCAGGGTCAGTGCTCTAAGCACCATTCTCTGTGCAGGACAGTCACACAAAGCAATGGACATCTGATTTGAGATTATGTTGTCTGCTTTCAGTGAGTGGTTGATCACTGCACTCACTGTGCCTGCTTTCAACAGTCAGGGACACAGAAGTGAGTTATACTGTGTTAAACCTTACACATATTAGATATGTCAGACAATTTATCTGCAGACACAGAAGTGAGTTATACTGTGTTAAACCTTGAACATCATACTCAAGAGTCTGGAGCCAGGGAAAGGTTCTGGGCAAAGGGGTAACATAATCATTGGTAAAAATCTAAAAATTAAAATGTCAGGGAATTAAAATACTGTCCTACAGAACTTTATAAGATGATGGAAATATTCTATGTCTACACTGTATACATAGAGCAGCCACTGGCCACATGTAGTTATTTAGCATGTGAAATGTAGCTAGTCCATATGGGACTGAGAAACTGAATTTGTAATGGTATTTCATTTTCATCAATTTAAATTTAAATAGGGACATGTGGTCAGTGGCTACCATGTTAAAGAACTCTAGAAAAAGAGAATCTAGGACCCAAATAAAAATGATCTATCATCTATCTATCTACTACCTATTTATATCCCTGTCTCCCTCCCTCTCTATCTTTTTTTGTCCTTCAGAGAACAGTTAGGGTAGCTGAAATATATATGCACATATATAATTGTATAATTATGTAATACAGATCTATTTATGAAATATAAATATGTAGTTAGAAAAGCTGAAATGCAGATTTTTTTCCAGCTTTTTCAGCTTTTCGAATGTTCTCAGGGGGGCTTTGGTATGCTATAAGTTAGTCTACCATTACCAAAGAACTCCTCCCCATTAGAACCTAAATTCCCTAAAACCAAAAGTTGTATTTCCACCTCTATATTCCCATAATTTGGCACACTGCCTGGCAACTGGCAGGTGCCTAGTAAATAAATGATCTATTTCTGACAGCCCCACAAAGTAGGCAATCTGGACATCCAAGAAAGAATTTAGTGGATATTTGGTCTTACACATATTAGATATGTCAGACAATTTATCTGCCATCCTTCTTGCTTAATTTGCCCCCCACACAGCCCCTGTAATTGCTGACTGCCAGAGCAACCAATCAGATTCCCCTTTCAAGAATTTAAACTAAGAAACGGAGTATATATGGTTATTGTGGACCCTGGGGCTGATTTGGGGTGGACAGCTGTTTGGAAAATAGGAAAGCGGAATAGAGCAAAGGGCAAAACCTGTAAGAGAAAGGTAGAGGTAAGAGGACCTGTAAGACTGAAAGACTTGATCTTGATGGCACTTTGGATCTCAAAAGGGTTGATTTATTGTGTTTGCTATCCTTGCATTCTATGATTTCTGTATCCTTAAACTATCCCCTCCTCTCTTCTGAATTAGCTTGAATGGGTTTCATAGTTTCAAATAATTGAGCCTAGGCTAGGATAACCACGAAGAGTCCTAATGAAGACATTATAGGAATGAGAAAGAAATGCATCTCTAAGGAATTTGTTTTCGAGAGGTCAAGGATGCCCATTGTGGTCCAAAGCCTTACCACTGCAAGTGTGGTCCATGGAACAGCAGCTTCAGTGTCTCCTTGGGGCTGGTCAGAAGTGCAGAATCACATTATTCCCAACCCAGGTCATTTGCTGGTTGTGTGACCTTGGGAAAGTCACTTAACTTCCCGGTGCCTTAGTAGCCTTATTTATTATGTAGTGATTATAAGAAGTCCCTACTTTCAGGGTAAATGTGAGTATCAAATGGGTAAATATATGAGAAGTGCTCAGAACAGTGCCTGAGACCTAGTAAGCCATTCATAACCATAAAGATGTTAGCTCCCTAAGATGGGAGTTTTAGTCTATTTTATGACCTGCTTTAATTTCCGCACTTAATTCCAACATGGTCCTTTGTTGGCAGCCCTTTGTCCTAGACTGTGAATCTTCAATTGTCCCAATGGTCCAAAAATAAAGAGAGTTCTTGTGGCTAAATGTCTACAGCTCAAATAAGCTATTATCATTCTAACAAAGGCAAGTGCCTTCAGACAACTTTTTATTCATCTTTCACTTTTTTCTTTTGAGAAATTGTGGACCCTTTGTTTAGTCCAAATACAATTCCCTTTGCCTTATTTGGGAAAGAAGAATAACAAGGTCTCCCCAATCACCTTCAGGAGATGTGAGCTGAAAGAGCCAGCAAATTGGGATTCTAAGCTAATGAGGCTCTAAGCAAGGAATTCATGGATGCTCTCCATTTTCCCCTAGTGCAACTATTTCATGGGAAAGTGCAGCAACTTTTGTCAGCAACACTGATCATAATCTTATCTGTTCCTACAAGAAAGAGAAATCTTTACATGAATTCTGCTAGAGTTTCAGAAGTTTTCCCAAGGTTCCACATAACTTTCTTGTTTCAGCTGCTAATCCTATGCTATCTCAAAGTAAATCTGATACGTTGTCAAGCCATGTGTCTGAGTCTACAAACCATAAGGAAACACCATGATATAAAGCCAGGCTGACACAACATCAGGGCTTTGTCATGGACAGAAGTGGGTTCACCGACTTTATTAATGCACCCCCTTCCATGACACAGCTGTGTGTGGCTGACATAATTTACCACAGTCAGCCTGGAGATGCTGAGTGTAAGAGGCCACAGCAGAATAGACAGGATGGCAGAGGATGATATACTTCAAGGTAACACTTTGCTTGACTGAAGAAAGAGTGGCAAATTTTTCAATCACTGATTATTAATGTTGCTCAAAGACTCTCTGAAATAAAATGCAAATCTCTTGATGAAAGAGCATGAATGACTTTAGAAAGTAACAGCTTTTTATCTGTCACTTTCAATCTTTGTTCACTTCACCTTGTGATCCAGCCAGACTCTGAGACCACTGGGGAAAAGGCAACATGCAATCTTTCATATCCCAGGTCCTGGTTATTCCTAAGCATTAGTGCAGGGGAACTGAAAGTCCTTACCTTCTGACAGCTACCTATCATTTGGACAGTTCTCAGTTTAATCCCTCAAAGATTAGGGATTCATGTGCATTCAGCCAGTCTTTTAACCAATGGGTTGTCATATGGGGTCTTGATGGTGGGTGGGGGCCGCACTCCTCTGTGCTGGGTTTTCTGAGGAGGAGAAGAGGAACAGGACAACAGTCTCTGCTCAGGAAGGAGCATGACTGATGAGAGTAACATTCCCTGACACTCCTCAGGTTCCCATCCTCGCTCACCCTCCCTCTTACACCTGGCCTGGGAAGCTTGGCCCCTGATCCAGGTGAGCTTCTGACATACTGCCCCTTTCTGAGTGAGAAGAACATGGTTAGTGCCCTCAAGGTGGCCTTGTTCTCTGAGACTGGCCTTTCGACAAATAGCTAATGTGAAGGTGGGCAGTGTTTGTCGCCTTGGGAAGGTCTCGTTATCCCAGTTGCTGGGAGTGTTGTCAGCTCTGCTTCCCAGGGAGCCTTGTCTGGGGCCACTCATGTGCATCCTCCTCTTCCATTCTTCTTTTCTCCAGGGGTCCCAGGAGGGTAAGCAGTGCAAGGACCCCCTCTTCCCACAGGGTGTGGGGTCTGGGAGAAGGCAAAGACAAGGGTAGTACGAATGATCAGAAAAGCAGAAGGAAGCCCATTTGGCCTCAGTGCCAAACCACTTTTCTCAATACAGCTTCATCAGAAATAGGGTAGGCATTTGGTTTTTGTCGGACTCCTATGCCTATTTATGAATCAGATGGGGTCACAATGGAGAGGGAGAGCAAAAAGCACTCCAAAGCTGACCTATTTGACCACTTTGTAATTTCCTGGGGACCTGGTGCCTGGGGGACACAGCCCATCTGCCCTTATGGTGAGGTGGTGGGCCAGATGACTGAGCTGTAGGCTGTACTGCCCCACTCCCATCCCTGAGAGCAGAGTCAGATGAAATCTAATAAGCGGCATGTTGTGAGAGCCACCATGTCTCAGCTCCTCTGTGAAGAACTGGTTGAAAGTGGCCACAGGATCAAACAGTCCTGAAGAATGCAGTGCAGAGGTACTGAGACACACTGATTATATCAGCCTTATGTCTGGAGGAAGCAGGGTGGAAAGAATGAATCTTAGTCAAATCCCCTCTGAGAGGGGCCTGTGGGGAAGCTGTCACCCAGAGAAGTGTGAAAATGAAGAGCCTTGATGCCTTTTCACAGGCTGTGACAGACAGTGTCCCCTGAGTTCATGCCAAGACCCTGTGACAATGCCCTCTGGATGGGGGGCCTCCCGTTCTCTTCCTGGTTTCATGTTCACTGATGATACTGATACCTTTATCTGAACTTGCATTGAAGGACTGACCCTGCCATCCATGGAATAGATGGCTGACAATTTTAAAAGCCCTGGGAAGGGCCCCTTTTTCTCAGCATTCTTTGCTACCTGCTCACCTGTGCCTCTAGTTCCTTTAGTAAAGAATCCTACAATTGCTCTCTCGATAAGATGGCCACACCAGTAGTACCAGTGAGTGCTCCTCCAGCCACTCCAGCCCTAGCCCCATCCCTGACCCCAACCTCAGCTCCAGTGCTGGTTCCAGCTCCAACTCCAACTGCATCCTCATCCCCACACCTGGCTGCAGTAGCAG